CCTACATTCTGAAGGGCTCAAGTGTTAAGCTCCAAGAAAATCAAGATCCAGGCCGCTCTCCTGCTGCTCAGCGAGCTCATTTATTTTTCTACCAAGATCTACCACTCCAACCAAGCCAATTTCCTCGGTATCACCTGCACATCGTGCCATTCCTTCGACTTCAGATAGACTCTTTTCTTCCTGCCAATCCATATTTTGCATTTTCACAAGGACAACTCACAAGCTGTATGGCTGCCCTCCCCGGGTTATTCCTGTCCCTCTACTGGACTTTTTTTTATGCCTCACATACTCTGCCCTGTGTCACTCTGCTTATTGATAAAAGTGGTGTTGTGGGGACCAGCGATTGGCATAATGGCTATGTTGCTGTATTCCCATGTAGTCGACCACGGTTCAAGTCCCTGACCCGGTGGCTTAAACTCGCGTGTGCGTGCGTACCCAAGATCCCGAGAAGAGAATGGAGAAGGGATTGCGGTGTGGCCATCCCCCCTGGGGGGTGATTTCTTGCTTTCTGTCTCTCTCTCTCTTTCTGGTGAGCACACGTGCCCTATAGCAAAAACCTCTCCAAAAAAAAACCAAAAACATGTGTTGTTCTGTTTTGTATCTTCCCCTCGCAGATGAAAATGGAGAGAGGAGCCCGTCTTATATTTCCTTTGCATTTCTCGTGGCATGTCAAGCAGCGTCCTCCCATTAGAGACACCATCGTGTTAGATATACTGACGGACCTAGGCGTTTTATAGCTGGAGTCAGACCTAGAAGATGACCCAACACTCCCCCGTGCACCGAGCAAAAATTGCACCCCTCACTCAATGTTCCTGGCATCCTATAACTTGCCCAAAGCCAGATTTATTGCTCCTGCTTTAAAGTGTTTCTTCTCTAAGCCTCACTTAAAAGCTACCACTTGGCAGAAGATCAAGTTAGAAGTGCAGGATAGCGGGTGATGGCGAGGGTAGGAGGGGGGAGGGGAGGGCGGGGTGGAGCGAATAATTGAAGCTCTGAGAACTACCAGCTCAATATTTAACCTAACTGGTAATTTGCTGTGACAATTATGCCACCGACGGAACACGACTACTATGCAGGAACCTCGCTCCCTAATTAAGAGGGCTCCGCTTTTCCTAGTCACCCGCACTTTAATAACACACACAGAACGAGACTTGGCTCTGAGCTAACGGGGCTATTAGGAGGCGTGTGCAGCGCGCGGCTGCGGCGTGCACGTCGGTCGTGAGTGATGCGGCCCCGGTAAGCCCGCTAACACCTTCCAACTCTCCCAGACCAGCGAAGAGGGCCGTGTAGGCCTCTCGCCGCACAAGCCCCCTTTGACTGACAGGCATCTTTCCGGAAAGCCTGTGCGTGCCTCCACTGCAAATAGACAGGCTTTCCCACAGCACCTCCTTGCAACCGGGAAGGCTCGGTGTGGGTTTGATCCTGAAAGAGTAACTTTAATCAGGGCTTTCACAAAAATGAAAGTCCACGGCAACAAATCTTCCTCTTAAAGATGGAGAGCGAGACAGGAACAGGGACACACACGCGCCAAACCTCCTGTTTAAAGCGCCGGTTTGAGACAAAAGAATTACTATTAACACCAAGGCTATAAGGAAGGATGTTGCCATCTTTTAAATTGACTGCTAGAGTCCTGAAACACGGCCCGAGCTAGACGAACCTTTTTTTTTTTTTCCTTGCTTAATTAGTGGCTCCTTTATGGAAGGTATGCTGCCTGGAGAGAGCCCATTAGAGAAGGAAAGCTCATTTACAGGGATGCACCTTATAAAGCTCTTCAGATTTTAAATAAATAGTGGAGAAGGAAATTGGGGGTGGTGGTGGGAGCAGGGGTGTGATGGAAGCAGAAAAGCTTCTGCAAAAGACGGGCTTTGCATTAGAGCAGAGGAGCCGAGATCAGCTTTCCTGGGCAAACAGAGGCGCCTCTAAAATTTTAGGCCAATAGAAATGACCTCTGTACTACGGCTGACTGAAGATATAAATAAACTTCGACGGGAACAGCAGTGTCAACGGTGAGAGGAGAGGAGAGTCCAATTGGGGCTTATTTTTAAAAAGTCCCGGGTGTTCCGACTCCATTTCAGGGCAGGGTATTCAGGAGCACAAAGCTGCTGCCTCCCGCAGAGAGCTCCGCTGAACCAGGCCCCAGCCCTCGGTTACCTAACCATTGAAAGGAAGCTGCACCACACGCGAGTTAAATATAGGCTGGGTTATCTGCATCTTACAAGCACCAAGCACGTTATGTGAGGAAGCTGTCATTTTTAATGACAGCACAAACTTCCAATTACCAACTGGGTAATACACCAGGGAGTGGGTAGGAGACGATTTTCCTAAGAATGGCTCACAATTATTAAAAGTTTACACGATCACTTTTGAATTGGATTTAAATACTTCTCAAGAGGCAAGTGGGATTATGTTTTTTATGTGGTCTATGCAAGGCTTGAAGGAATGTTGTTTTCATGAAAATGATAGATTTTGAGATTTGTATCAACCGTGGAGAAGTAGGGGGTGCAAGGTGACAGCCATTAAGAGCCTGGCAAAGCTGAAAGGCTGTAAGAATGGCCAGGTGTTTGGTTCGAAGTTTAGGTACACCCACCAGTCCACTGCCAAGTCACACAAGTCACAGATTTTCATGACGAGCCCAGTCTAAGAGTTAGAGGTCTGGCAGTAAGACCCTCTTACACCACCCACGGCCCCTTACCCGACATAACTGGACATCAATTTCCTTGGTGCCTTTACCCAGCTCCCTGGCATCCACGCGCTTCCCCTGTCAGTGATGGCTTTTGCACGAATGACAGCCCCCAAGCTAAGTGAAGGCTGTAGCTCGTGACTCTCAAAGCACGCAACTCTTTTTTCTTCCTTTGTTTTTTTAAAATAGATTTTTGCATTAGGGCATGTTTGCCCACTCGGGAAAGAAAGTGAGAAATCACCCCATGGGGGGACCAGCAGTTAGCATAATGGCTATGTCACTGAACTCCCATGTACTCAATTGTGGTTCTAGTCCCGGACCTGGTGGCTTAGACTCATGCTGGGTGCGTGTGCGTGCATGCCCAAGATCCCGAGAGGAGACTGGAGAAGGGATTGCGATGTGGCCATTCCCCCTGGGGGGTGACTTCTCGCTTTCTATCTCTCTGTCTGTCTGCCCTATAGCAAAGCACCCCAAAAAAAAAACCCCCAAAAAAAAAAAAAAAAAAAAAAAGAAAAGAAAAAAGAAAGAAATCACCCCTTGGGGAGATGGCCACACAGCAATCCCTTCTCTCAGGTTCTTGGGCACACATGCACATGTGCCCTGTGTGAGTTTCTAGCTACTGGGTCTGAAACTCAAACCATGGTCGGCCATGTGGCATGGTTGGCCATGTGGGAGTCCAGCGATGTAACTGCCATGCCATCTGGTGGCCTCCAACCACCCATTTCTATGTGAAGTCTTTTCTGATGACCAGTCTTCAGTGATCTCTCCACTAACTGGAATTTCTTCAAAAGAAATTTTATTTAACTTTATATACCCATTTGTTTATTTATTTTAATTTGATCAGTGAAGGACAGAGTGATAGAGAGAGAAAGCCAGAAAGCAAGTTGCCAGGTTTGGGACTTGAACTGTGGTCGGCCATGTGGGATTCCAGCGCTCCCAACCACCATGCCACCTGCCAGCCTCTCCACTAACTGGAATTTTTAAAAAAGAATTATTTTACTTGACTTTATTTATTTATATTTGACCAGAGAGGGACAGAGAAAGAAAATCCCCAGGTCTGGGACTTGAACCATGGTCAGCCATGTGGGAGTCCAGCACCCTTAACCACCACACCACCTGCAGGTCCCTCCACTAACTGGATTTTAATCTCTTTGATGTGACTCCTTAGTCCCACACCTTGGCACAAAGAGATCCCAGTTTTGGGGACAAGGCACTTTGATTCCAGATCATCTATCAATAGACAAGGCTAGCACAGGAGGTCAATGAAGATAAGTGACTGCGTGCTTTCTCGAATGACTGAAAACCCCCATTACAAATGTAATTAAAAGATATAAGCATCATTAGCTAATAGCTTTAGGTAAAGAACAAGGCTGCTTTAGAAAGCACATCAACTGTGTCCTTGAGGTGCCATTTCTGCTAAGCTGGTGCAGGAAACAAGAAGGCTTAGGCTTCGACAGTCACAACCCCAGTCCGTGCGGTAGGTAGGATCAAACTATCCACGGCTCCAAAGCCTTTCTTTCCCCTCTCCTCCCTACATTAATCTATCTGTCCCTTCTTTTTTTGTTTGCTTTTCTGATTTGCTATAGGGCATGTGTGCTTGCCTGAAACAGACAGAGAGACAGACAAGGAAACAAGGAGACTGAGAGACAGGGGATGGCCCTGTCATAATCCCTTCTTCCGTCTCCTTTTGGGATTTTGGGCACGCACGCACACGTGTCAAACTGCTGGATCTGGGCTCAAACAGTGCAGCTGGCCACGTGGGATCCAGTACCCTAATCTCCATGCCACCTGCTGGCCCCAATCTACCTACTTCTAAGAGCCCGCTCCAGTGACCTCCTGGTCCCTGAAGGTACACAGGATCAGAGCAGCTCTCACTGGGTGGTCTAAGGCAATGGAAAGACATCAGACGATCTAACAGCACAAGAAGGCATATTTTTTCCCCAATGCCACAAAGTCTGAACACTACTGCTCATCAAAACCTCAGTTCATGGCATCAGCAGGTGGCAGTCGTTAAGGTACTGGATTCCCACATGGCTGACCACAGCTCAAGTTCCAGACCTGATGGCTTGAAAATCAGGCTGGGCGCATATGTGTCCGTGTCCAAAGTCTCAGGAGTTTGAGAATGAAGGAAGAGGGATTGTGGCGTGGCCATCCCTCTTGGAGCTGATTTCTCCCCTTCCCTCTCAGTGTCTGTCTTCTGTGAGTGTACATGCTCTACGGCAAAAACAAAACCACCTCAGTTCATGGCAACGGTGAGAAAAGTATAAGCATCCAGCCCAAGGTAGCTGGCTCGGTAGTAACACCCACACAGCTGAGTACCTTAAAGTTACACGACTGTACTTTTATTGAAATAGAAAAGATGACTACCCCATAGTGCTAGGAGAGAAATGTTACAGAATGTGAGGCACAGGAGAACCCCACTTTAAAAGCATGTTTATACACACATATACATAGAAAAAGCAGTCGATGATAACAGTTCTTGCTGGCTGCTGGAAGTACGGGTAACTTGTTTTTTCTTATCTGCAGGTTGCTTTTCTAAAATGAACGTGGAATCCTTGCATAGAAAATGATCAGTAATAAACAATTCCCTTTCCTTTTTTTTCTTTTTAACAAAGGTCAGCAATACTCAACATTAGTTTAACAATAAAATATATTTGCTTAGTTATATTTTCTTTTTAGAACAAATGAGAGTAAAACACCCAAACGCTACTTCTTCTGACAAAGTGATTATTTCTGAAGGTGTTTATAAAACTTCCAGAACCTTATCAACAGAATAGATTATAATACTAAGAGTCAATAGCCACATCAAAAGGTGAGGGGAAAATCCTGTGTTTGAGACAAGGAAACAATCAATTTACGAGGGGAATAGTGGCTTTCAACAAGAAAAAAAAATGCAAGGAGACTAAACAACCTGTTTTGTTTTCTATAAATAAAATCCTTGGAAGGCGTATTGCCAAAGATACACAAGTCAATATAAACCTGTATACTGGGCTGCCAAACTTCACTTTTAGACAGTGTATTAATTATGTAGTCAATAACTATGGGTTTCATTAGTGTATTAAACACCACGATCAATATTATTTATACTTTTTGAAGACAGGCCGCTTGAAAAAAAAAGTGTGTGGGGGGGATTTTTGACCCTGCAGCTCAAAAAAGTCAGAACGGCACACTAGAGATTAGTAAGGCTTTAATGGAAAGCATAAAACACTGAAAATATGGACAGAAATCAGATTATTCTTTTTTTCCCCCTCTGCTTCTTTCACAATGAGACTGGAGGGAATTCAAGAACCATTTAAAATAAAGGCAAAATGATTAGATTTTTTCCTAATTGCTTAACACTGATGTCACGGTGTACGCAAAATAAACATTGATCTCGAAGTGAAAGATGAGAGAGAGAACAACACAGACAGCCTTTCGAGGTAAACTATATCCAAGAGAATTCGAAGAACTGTGGGCCAGAATCTATTTAGGCAATCCTCAGGGACCCAAGTCTCTTAAAAGCCTAACAGTGGAGCCAATTTCTGATGCTGCTCTACTGGTGATCGGACGTTTTAGTAGGGAAATCCGTTAAATGTTCTCCCTTATGGGATCCCCCGCCGCCAACACTGCCCCTGGATCTCCAGTCGTACCCATGCCCGTGTGCTGGCTGTGACACACTGCTGGCCACTGGGAAAGCACGGGGACTGCCACTAGGTTCTCTGGAGGCACCCGGGTACCACTGCCAGTCAGTCCTCTTCACGGGTTGGCAGAGGGATGCTGGGAGCAGGAGATGTAAAAGACTGGTTACTGGACTGAAAGCTAGATCACCACTTCCAGCTCACAATTTGTCAATCCGGAATAGCGTTGAAGACTGTAATTTTCTAGTCAATGCTTTATAAGCAAGGTCAGACAGAAAAGAGCATCCATGAAATCACTGAGGCCTCAGCCAGAGAATCAAGTGTAACCCAATTACCGTCTCCTGAGACCAGAGAAGAGTAAGAGGCAATGAGAAAAAGCCCCCCTACGTATGTTCTCAGGGATAGGAGCTATCCTGTCTAGGGCTGGCTGGTTCTTCCCCAAAGAGGACAGCTCCGGGGGAAACGGACAAGGAATCGTCACTCTGTAACTCATATGCTGCTTGTGTGTAAATGAAAACCAGGGCTTGCAGCTGCAGACTGACTGCGCTCCTGCCTGGGTACTTGGAGAGATGTGCAGCAAATGCCCAAATGCCAAGCGGTGGGTTGCAGCAACTGGATAGATAATTAATATGATTAGGAACACACAGCGCAAGATGCTCGTGCTGACGGAAAAGCCCAGTAGCATAATTACTGTTTTCTTACTAGCTCACTGTCTGCACACATTTCAAAGCCTGGTTGGTGTTAGACTGCTGTGTAAACATCAATAAAATCCCAAAGTGCCAGATCATCGGCATTCTTGGACACAATGGCTTTTTGTTTTTACTGTTTTCATTCTTTTAAAGATGCATTTCAGGGTGGCAGATCTTAGAAAGAATGATCTCCATGCCTTGGACTAATCCTGGAGTCTGTAATGAGTTAACATCTCCCCCAAGTGAACACTTATTATGAAGGCTAATTAATTGCTTTCCAGTTACAAGAACCCTTTGCATTCAAAGAAAGTGGGATTCACACGCAAAGAATACACTATTTATTAAAGCAAGGGAAACAAAGGGCCTCTCCCTTCAAAATCTTTTCTATTGAACATAGCTTTAATCAAGAACTGAAACATACAAATGCAAGAAATATGTATAGGTAGAAAAAGTGTGCATTCACACCCAAAATGCAACACTAATTGAAGTGAAAACTCCAGCAAAGCTTTGTAGTTGCCTGGATGTCCCTAGGGGACAGTAAGTCAATGCTTATCAGCCGGCCTCAGAAGAGACAATTTTGATTAATATCAGACCCATCTGACTCAGTCTATTAAACCCTGAAGGAAGGATATTCTTCAGATATAAAAGATATGTCTTTGATTAATAATTCTTCCCCATTGCCATTCCAAGCATTAACAACTATGTGGCACCTCTAGAAAGACAGCGCCTTTGAATTCTAGGAAGACACACTTACTAAAATACCCAGGTTCCCCTCCACCACTTCTCGACTCTCCCTCGAAGCAGCAGCCCAAGTGGTGGAGGTGTCGCCACTGGAGAAGCAAAACCCTAGTTACATAATTTATTACGCTGTCTGCAGAGTTAGGGTCAATTGGTTGTGACATAATTCCTGCTTGAAGATAATGAAAGCTTAATAAAATTGACAAAAGCCTGAAGACAGAGGGAGTGACTGGAACTACACTACCTGCTGGCTGACCCGGGCCTGGCGGAGTTTACACCACGGCCATCGCACTTCTTTTCCTTTGCCTACCAATGGGTTTCGGGATGCACGTAAGAGGAAACTGCTTAGTCCACTGTAAAGAGGCTCTGTGCACTGTGTAGCTAACGTGGAATTGTCGCACGGGGAGTGGGAAGAAACCAACTCCATTTCGGCTGTATTCTTTTAAACTTCTGCCCAATCAGCACTGCCCTCCTCACATGGCTGCGTTTTTCCTGATGTTCATGATCAGCCTCCTGCCATATTCTCTGTAGTCCACGGGCTTCACGTCCATCACGGTGGCCTTAATTCGAGACTCATCCTTTGAAAAGAGAAAAGCAGTTTCTGAACAATGAGAGCCCGTGGCATGGGGCAGTGGTGATAACCCCTCTGCTTCAGTGGTTTCATGGAGCGCAGAGGGAGAAAACACAGGAAACCCTCCAGGCTCGGAGTTCAGAGATTCCAACAAAGGAAACACCACCCGTAGGAGCCGAGCCTGGGATTTCTGGGCTGGGAGAGTGGACACGTCCTCTCTTTCACTCGGGCCCCTTTCTTCCTTTCCTCATGCGCCCAAACGCTCTGAAACCTGGCGTCCAATGGGACAGGCTTTCGAGGGCTTTTCTAGTTCAACTTATTCTCTTTACAGAGGGGAAACGGGAGCCCAGAGAGGATAAGGGACTTTCCCAAAGCCACAGAGCTTGTTCTAGAAGCTGAACTTTCATTTCAAGAGAAAAGCTGAGGTGCTGTAAAGAGAAAAGCACTGCAGCAGAGGCGGCGGCCCCGGTGTGGTTCCCAGCTCAGCTGAGGTCTCTCATCATGCCACCCTCTCTGTCCGTGCTAGGAGGGGACTAAATGACTCTAACCGCCCCCAACCCCGTCCCACTCCCTGACACTGTATCACACTGACATTTGACCCCTACCCAATTTCATGCCAACAGTAACAAACACGTGCAGTAACGGTATTAAGGCAAGGCCTGATAATAAAACGGAATGAGTAAACCCTGCCACAAGCAGGGGCGTGTTCAGAATTCTGCCTCCGTCCTTGTAAACTGACATGGAGGACTAAATGGGGCTTTTAAAGGCAGAACGGGGCAGTGCTCAAAGGCTGCATGGTTGATCTCAAGAGTACTCCCACATTTGTGTATCCAGCAATTATTAAACATGATGATATATTTTAAAATTTTTATTAAAAAAAAATATATAATTATTTTTAAATTTTTATTTAAAACTATATATGTACTTATTTTTAAATTTTACCAGAGACAGACAGAGCGAAAGAGAAGGAAGAAAGCAAGCCACCACATCTGGGACTCAAACTGCAGTCAGTCATGAGGGAGCCCAGCACCACAGCCATACGCCAGCTGCTGGTTCCCCACAGTGATATTTATAAGCAAGGTTCAGAGCAACGCCCTGAAGTGGGACCGCCAGGGCTGGCATCTTAGCTCTGCACTTGCTGGCATATGACTTCAAGGGAAGTGACTTCCCTGCAAGCCTGCGTTTTCTCCTTGGTAAAACAGGGTAGCGAGAGCGCCTCCATATTACAAAGTACTGTAAGGGTCAAGTGAGCGAATACGTGGGCAGTAAAGGGTACGGAGCACCTGGCGGAATGGGCCCAGTAGGTGCTGCTTTCTTACAGCTACACGACTACGTGACGCTCTGGGCGACTTACGGCATGTTCAAGGGCGTTCTAACTGCAGGCGATCACCGCCTCATACGCTACCTTTACAACCTAGGCTGTGGAAGGCGCGAGCCTACTACACACGTTATCACTGTCAGTGCACAGACCAAAACCCACGCAGAACACAAAAACGTGTGCAGCTGAAAAGGCTGTGCAGCATTTCTCTCCCTAGATATTTACACTTCAGTCTAAATCTGTTTCCTCATCTGAAAATGGGGATGCTCAAACGCACCTCAGAGTCGGAAAGACTCGGTGAGCGATAAACACGGGGTGCTTCGCTCTGGGTCTGGCACACAGTTTTGCGGCCAATACGGCGACGTCACTGTGGGGGACGAACAGCTCCCCCTGCAAGCCCTCTGCCCCCACGGTCTTACGTACATTGTAGGTCTCCAGTTTGACTCTGATTTTGAATGTGAAAGACCGAAAGTTGGCGTTCTGGAAAACTTCCTCAAATGCCTGCTCGTTCTGCATTAAAAAAAAAAAGAGAAAAAGAAAGAAAAGAAACTTTAGACATAGAAACCAGCGGACTACATGAAAATATCTGTAAGACTTTTGTAAAGACTTTGAAAAAATTATTCCCAGGGGTTTCAAATGACTTAGGAATTTACAGGTAATGTATCATTATATAAGTTGTTTTTTCTGTTTTTTTTTTTTTTTTTTTGAGAGAGATTTATGTTACAGGGTGCATGTGCTCACCAAGAGACAGAATGAGACAGAGACACAGAAAGCAAGAAATCACGCCCTCCGCCCCCCCTGGGGGGGATGGTCAAGCCACAATCCCTTTTCCTCCATTCTTCTTGGGAAAAGGACCCAGCCTGAGTTTTAAGCCACTGGGTCCAGGACTCGAACCACAGTGGTCTATGTGGAAGTCCAGCAACGTAACCATTACATCATTTGCTGGTTCTGCATAACACTATTTAAGTAGGGGCCAGCAGGTGGCATAGTGGTTGAGGTGTTGGACTCCCACTTGTCTGACCACAGCTCGAGTTCTGAACCTACCTGCTTGACATTCACGCCAGGCACATGTGCCCAAAATCCTGAGAGGGACTAGCAGATGGTGTAATGGTTACATAGCTGGACTCCCCCAGGGCTGACCATAGTTCGACACCCTGACCTGGCAGTTTAAAACTCACAGTAGATGCGTGTATGTGTGTGTGTGTGTGTGTGTGTGTGTGTGTATGTGCCCCAAATCCCAAGAGGAGAGTGGAGGAGAAGGAAATGAAGCGTGCCCATCCCCCTGGGGGTTGATTTCTCACTTTGTCTCTCTGGTGAGCACACACGCCCTACGACAAAAATCTCTACAAAAATCTCAAAAGGAGAATGGAAGAGAAGGGACTGCAGTGTAGCCATCATGCCTGGAGAGTGACTTCTCACTTTCTCTCCTTTGTGTCTCCAGTGAGTGCACGTGCCCAACAGCAGAAAACTCTCTTAAAAAAGAAAATAAACTGTTTAAGTAGTCTTATTAGAAAATTAAAGAACCGTACCTAGAGAAATCAAGTTCATAGAAAGCAGAATGGTGGTCACCAGGGTCTGGGAGAGGGGGAATGGGTTATTTAATGAGGGGAGAGTTCCAGTTTGAGAACATTAAAAAGTTCGGGCGATAGGTGGCGGTGACTACAGCACAACCACATGAGCGCGCTTAACGCCCGGATGGTGACAGTGGGGCTGGCCGCAGCGCAGCTGTGATGTGCTGCTCAAGAAAAGCTAGATCCCACGTGACAACTGCTGCTCTCCTCCCTGGCCTGGTCAGCTGGAAGCATGCCCAGCACGTGCACATGCTCAGGGTCTAACGGGCCTGAGGAAGGGAACTGTGGTGCGACCAGATCCTACGGCAGGTGCTCTCTCTTTCTCTCTTGCATATTCTATCATTTAAAAAAAGAGGGGGGGAATGGAAGTGGTAAAATTTTACGTTATATGTATTTTACCACACAAAAAATTTAAAAATACTCTTAGAAAACACATTTTTGGGGACTAGCAGTTGGTGTAATGGCTACATTGCTGGACTCCCATGTAGTCGACCGTGATTCGAGTCCCAGACCCAGTGGCTTAAACTCACACCGGGCGCATGTGTGTGCATGCCCAAGATCTCGAGGGGAAAATGGAGGAGAAGGGATTGCGGTGTGGCCATCCCCCCGGGGGGTGATTTCTCACTTTCTGTCTCTGTCTTTCTGGCAAGCACACACGTCCTATAGCAGAAACCTCTCAAAACAAAACAAAACAAAACCCAAAAACCAAAACCCACACATTTTTGGGGCCAGTAGGTGGCATGGTGGTTAAGGCGCTGGACACTTCCACACGGCCAACCATGATTCAATGACCTGGTGGCTTGCTTTCTCATTTTATCTCTCTCTGGTCAAATTAAAATAAATAAGTGAATAAATAAAATTAAGTACACTTTTTTTTGCCATAAAATATGGATATTTTATCCCAGCTCTGAGAAATGAAAACAAACAAAAAAACAAACAAAAAACCCCCACATCTTTCTATATACCAATCTAACTTAACTGACATGAATTTAGAAAAGCTAGAACAGATATAAATGTGTGTATATATATGTATATACATATACATACATGTACATACGGATCATCAGATTTTAGTCTCATTAGTATTTATATCTTCATTCATTCTGCTCTGATTTTTAGTCAATACCTTTAAAAGTCAGATGCATTCTAATACTTGTACCTGTGTCTCATCAATCATTTCATATTATCTGGATTGTATTAATAGCTTGCTGAATCACTTATGTGATGGGTCAAACTCTGTATTTGAAAATGTAACCGAAAAACTTCAGTTATACTCTAGACGGCAGTTACCCATCACGGGAGTTTCCCCCCATCACCCCCATAGTTCCCTGTGCAGTCGTTCTCAGCTCCTAGGACCGCACACAGCTACATCTTCTGTAGGACTGCCCGTGACCCGTCACGCATAAACTCTGTGGCACCTTTGCAATTATTACCATTACCGACTGAACTGGATCGCAAACAGCTGCTCCTAAAGTGGCCAGTCCCGGTGGACAAGCAATTCTCTTGAACCTGGGTCCTTTTCTCACTGAAACAAAGCCCACCGATCCTGAAATGGTAATCACTCCCATTTTTGGAAGAAAATCTCAAGGATTCTTCTTCAGGTAGACATATGCATCTTTTCTAACTGTACTGTAGCCATGATCCCATTTTTCACAAAGATATAAACACCCTTGCCCAGTCAATATAATGACTATTTGTAGTGCGGATGGACGCAAAGCCTGTTTGTAAACGACTGGGCCGCTCGCCAGCGTATTTAGATTGGAGAGGTGGTGCAGTATGGGAGCTGCTCTGCTTTCACCAGCCGTTTTCTAGATTCCTCTTCTTTGGCTGCATATACACTTAGAGATGTGTACGTTAGACCTGCAGGTGTGGTTGTCAGCTTTCCCATCCTAACGGCCGCCATATCTATGACCCTCTCTGCTCCAATTTTTCAATAATTCTTTCAAAAACAAAACAAAACACATATTTTAGGGGCTGGCGGGTAGCCTGGTGGTTGGAGAGCTGGTGGTTCGAGTCCCAGACCTGGTGGCTTGCTTTCTCATTTTCCCTCTTTGGTTAAATTAAAGGATAATAATAAGAAATAAAATGAAATAAATTTTTTTCTTAAAAGAGAGAGAGAGAGAGAGAGAGAAAGTGAGAAAGGAAGCCACCAGGTCTAGGACTCAAACCACGGTCAACCACATGGGAGTCCAGAACCCTTAACCACCACATCACCTGCTACTCCCACCCCTTTATATATTTCAATCTCAGTTTCTGCTACGGAGTGAGGACATTCGGGGTGTGTGTGTGTGTGTGTGTGTGTGTGTGTGCGTGTGTGTATTTCTTTTTAAGAGAGAGACTTTTCTGCTATAGAGTGTGTGCACCAGCTGATGAGACACAGATACAGAAAGTGAGATATCAGCCCCAGGGGGGATGGCCATGCTGCAATCCTTTCTCCTCCACTCTCCTCTAGGGATTTTGGGCACACATGCACACTTGCCCGGCATGAGTTTTAAGCTGCCAGGCCTAGGACTCAAACCATGGTCGACTACATGGGAGTCCAGTGACATAATTACACCATCTGCTGGACCCAATAATTCTTAGGAAAAAAAAATCATATTTAGGGTCCAGGAAGTGGTGTGGTGGCTGAGGTGCTGGATTCCCATACAGTCAACCATGGTTTGAGTCCTGGACCTGGCGGTTTTTGATTCCCTCCATCCCCTCTTGGTGTTTCTCTCTATTCGAATTAAAAAATAAACTATAATAATAATTTAAATCAAATAAATATTTCTTTTTAAAAAGTCACATTTAAAAAATTTAATTGACAGAGTGTGCATACACTCGTCAGAGAGAGATGGAGAGACAGAGAGAGAGGTAAAAAAAAACACTCCCTGGTAAGGTGTGGTCATACTGCAACCCCCTCTCCTCCTCCTCTCCGTCCTGCCGAGATTTTGGGCATGCCCACACATGTGCCCAGAGGGTCTTTTAAGCCACAGGGTCTGGGATTTGAACCACAGTTGGTTATGAGATATCTGGCTCCTTATGGCAAGGCACTTAAACCACTGTGTTATGGGTCTGCCTTGGTTAAGTTTCTTAAAAAAAAAAAAAAAAGCCTGGTAAACCAAGAGAGATTAGAGAATACATTTTTATAAATATGCAAAACCAAGCTTATAATTTTATATAAAACTAATAGTTCAGGGGCAGCATATAGCATGGTGGTTTGAGTGCTAGACTCCCACATGGCTGACCACGGTTCAAATCCTGGGCTGGCAGCTTGAAAATCCCATTGGTGTGTGTGCATGCGTACCCAAAATCCCAGGAGGAGAATGGAGGAAAAAGGATTGTGGAGTGGCCATTCCCCCTAGGGGGTGACTTCTCACTTTCCTTCTCACTGTCTGTCTCTCCAGTGAGCATACATGTCATATGGAAAAAAACAAACAAACAAACAAAAACCCCTTAAAAACAAAGCAAGACAAAACCAAACAAAAAACTAATGATCAACCTAGTATCTTTACAAGCTATATACAGGATGAAAGCAGCCTTATCATATGGAACTTCTCTTTTGTAAAGGTTACTTTACCAAAAGAATTCATCCCCAGAACAATGTATTAAACCTTCAGAAAATTAAACCAGTGGCCATCATTCTCCCACAATTAGGAAGGCCTGGAGCGCACACTCCGAGAATACCCCGGGTCCTGTGGGAAGAGTCCGCTATGTCCTCATTCACCAGCAGTAAAAACAGTCAAATATAATAAGCTCATAAAAAACCTGAAAGGCTGCTGGAGCCTTAAAATCAGATATGAAAATAGAGGACCAGACAAAAGAGGCAAAAGATGCTATCATGCTTTAAAGTCAACTCCGGTTATTTCTGTAAAATGGCTTGTTGGGCTATTTTCAGAGATCTCATAGACAATTTAAAAAAAGAGGTGGAGGGCAGGGCCACATGGACAGAACTGAGGACCGGGAAGAATAACACTACACCAAAACAAACAGCAAATCCTCTTTCCTGGTGGCCTTTACAAGCATTTGAACCAATTTGGAGGAAATGAGAAAAATCAAATCTATAGACAGAGGTCAATTTACGTGGCTCAGAAAATAAAGCTCTTGGGGCCAGTTGTTGGTGCAGTGAGGCCGTCTCGTCTGGGAGCCTGGGTGCATGTCCAGAGACATCTCTGAGACGGCAGAGATGTGCCTGCCGGTGAGCGCAGAGGGCTCGGGCTGGGGCTCGGGCTGCGGCGGTCACGGTGTCGGGACCCAGTTCAGGGCACCGGCCATTTGCTTTCCTCTCTGTCTCTCTTTTATAGAAGGAATAAGTAAGAAAAAAAAATTAATAGACAATAAAGCTTTTATTGGTCTTGGTATGTTTTATCTGAGCAACTATCTTTTCTAAATTTAGCATAATTAGTATCTAGTCTCTGCCTTAAATAAATCTAATATGTGAAAATGCAAATTTCTAAAAGTGAAGTTATCTTAGGAAGAAAGCCACTTGATGAGAACTATATCTGATAACTGGAAACAGCAAGCACTGTATATATGCATTGAAACCAGAGTGTGGCTCAACTTTTCTAGAAGGTGTTTATGAGGGTGAAAAGTCACCTCTGTGCTTTCATTTTAGAAGCCATTTTCCAGATCTCAGGTGATCACAGGACACTAGCTCTGAGGTGTTAACAGTAAACAAAACAAAACAAAAACAACAAAAAATTAAAAAAACATGGTTTATACTAGCAAAATGCATTTTTAAAAAAGAATTATTTAATTTATCTCTTTTTGTTTGTTTGTTTTTAAGAGGTTTTTGCTATAGGGCACGTGCGCTCGCCAGACAGACAGAGAGAGACAGAGAGACAGAAAGCGAGAAATCACCCCCCAGGGAGGATGGCCACGCCACAATCTCTTCTCCTCCATTCTCCTCTCGGGATCTTGGGCACGTGCACACTTTTTCCCCCGCCCCGGGTGGGGGTTTTTAACCCCGCCGGTCCGAGACACAAACCGCGGTCAACTACATGGGAGTCCAGCGACATAGCCATTACGCTAACTGCTGGTCCCGAGAATTACTTATCATCATTATTGTTTTTAAAATTTACTACAAGATATGCACAGAGAGACAGACAGAGGGAAAATGAGAAAGCAAGCCATCAGTTCGAGGACCTGAACTGTGGTTGGCCATGAGGGAGTCCAGTGCCTTAAGCACCATGCCACAAGGCAGCCCTGGCAAAGTGCATTTATATACATTATTTCATTGTCTCATTGTTAAGCACACTCTAAACAGATTAAATCAGATGAGCTCTCAAAGAGTCATCAGAGTGAGAAATTACTATACTCAAAACAAACAAACCTAAAAATATTAAACAGCAAAACAGATCAATGTTTTAGTATGTGTACTATTACGGCTATAATAAAACAACTGACTGACCTTCTCTTTTAATTCTCCAAGATAAACAGTATTTTGTCCGAGGATAGCTTCAGCAGATTCCTGGAAACATGTCACCCATTGATTCTCCTGAAAATCTGCAATATTTACCTAAAAAAAAGACACAAAACCACAATACTATATTATTTCAGCAAAGAAATAATAAAAAAGACACACCAGTGAGATTAAGAGATTAACTTTTTCCACTCATTAATTTCCAGAGAGAAGAATATTACCAATACATACACTATTCTTTCTTTCTTTTTTTTTTGAGGTTTTTTTTTTTTTTTCTTCCGCTATAGGGCACGTGCGCTCGCCAGACAAACAGAGACATAGAGACAGAAAGTTTGGTCACGCCGCAATCCCTTCTCCTCCATTCTCCTCTTGGGATCTTGGGCACGCACGCACACGCGCCAGGTGTGAGATTTAATCCACCGGGTCCGGGACGCGAACCGCGGTCAACTACGTGGGAATCCAGCGACATAGCCATTACGCTAACTGCTGGTTCCCAATACACTATATTCTTTCTGAAGAATGTGAAAAGTATCACAGAGAGAAGTTAAAAACCTCAATCTGGAACACAGTACGCTGTGAATGCGTGACGTCAGGTCTCGGGGGAGATACAGCAAACTGCACTCCTTCAGGTACAGAATCCAGGCACATCAGACTGTTCCCCTCAGATGCAAGGGGCCTTGGACTAAAGGTTTTGAATGAGCCTTCAGGAGTCACAGCAGGTTCTCTGCATTTTAAAATGCACGTGTTTTGGTCACGAGGAGGAACTCCATGCTACGACTCTAAATCCTAAATCGCAGCTAAGCAACCCAGATCACTTAAGAGCCTACACTGTGGGGGGCCCTCCAACCACCAAATTTACCTAGCAACAGAACTAGCAATTGAGAGTCTCTAATAGGACTATCTATGGTATAAAACTGAACAAGAGAAAGTCAAGAAAGCAAGTGGATCTAAAAAAAAAAATAGTTGCTAAAGTAAAAGGCTCTGTGGAATTAAACTTATTTTAAAATTGTATCATCCTGACGATTCCACATATTTGCTTTGCGCATACACGGGACATTTTTTTTAGAAAGACTTTTGCTATAGGGCGTGTGCACTTGCTGGAGAGACAGAGAGAAAGCGAGAAATCACCCCCCAGGGGGGGATTTTGAGGTTTTTTTTTTTTTTCTTCCGCTATAGGGCACGTGCGCTCGCCAGACAAACAGAGACATAGAGACAGAAAGTTTGGTCACGCCGCAATCCCTTCTCCTCCATTCTCCTCTTGGGATCTTGGGCACGCACGCACACGCGCCAGGTGTGAGATTTAATCCACCGGGTCCGGGACGCGAACCGCGGTCAACTACGTGGGAATCCAGCGACATAGCCATTACGCTAACTGCTGGTTCCCAATACACTATATTCTTTCTGAAGAATGTGAAAAGTATCACAGAGAGAAGTTAAAAACCTCAATCTGGAACACAGTACGCTGTGAATGCGTGACGTCAGGTCTCGGGGGAGATACAGCAAACTGCACTCCTTCAGGTACAGAATCCAGGCACATCAGACTGTTCCCCTCAGATGCAAGGGGCCTTGGACTAAAGGTTTTGAATGAGCCTTCAGGAGTCACAGCAGGTTCTCTGCATTTTAAAATGCACGTGTTTTGGTCACGAGGAGGAACTCCATGCTACGACTCTAAATCCTAAATCGCAGCTAAGCAACCCAGATCACTTAAGAGCCTACACTGTGGGGGGCCCTCCAACCACCAAATTTACCTAGCAACAGAACTAGCAATTGAGAGTCTCTAATAGGACTATCTATGGTATAAAACTGAACAAGAGAAAGTCAAGAAAGCAAGTGGATCTAAAAAAAAAAATAGTTGCTAAAGTAAAAGGCTCTGTGGAATTAAACTTATTTTAAAATTGTATCATCCTGACGATTCCACATATTTGCTTTGCGCATACACGGGACATTTTTTTTAGAAAGACTTTTGCTATAGGGCGTGTGCACTTGCTGGAGAGACAGAGAGAAAGCGAGAAATCACCCCCCAGGGGGGGATCTTGGGCACACCCACAATGCGCCTAGCTAGAGTTTTAAGCAGCTGGGTCCAGGATGCCAACCGCAGTCGCCCTCGTGGGAGTTCAGCAACATAACCATTACGCCACCTTCTGGTCCCACATGGGACTTTTAATACAGACTGATAGCGATGAAAATCAGGTGCTGAGAGAAGTTGAATGCATTCAAAAATATAAGGTGATGCTATCGCATACTGGGATTTCACAACTAGAGCTTATCCCACGCTATCCTCCTAAGAGGCAAGGGGCACCCCACTAAGAGTAAGAACAGCAGCAATGTAGACACATAACCGTCCAGTGCAGGGGGCTCCACCATTTAGAAGATGAGCAGAAATATTGATGAAATAAACTGTCTTCATCTTATTTCACTGTAAAGTTCTTAGTTTATAAAAATAAGCTTAAATGTAAAAGTTTTCTGATGAACTAACATTTTTAAAAAAAGAGTTACTTTATTTATTTATTTATTTGCTATGGGGCACATGTGCTCGCCAGAAAGAGAGACAGAACGCGAGAAATCACCCCCCAGGGAGGGGAGGCCACGCCACAATCCCTTCTCTTCCATTCTCTTCTCGGGATCTTGGGCATGCACCCCCCCCCCCCCCACACCCCCCAACAAACACCGCAACACACACACATACACCCGGCATGAGTTGAAGTCACCGGGTCCAGGACTCGAACCATGGTCGACTACTTGGGAGCCCAGAGACATAGCCATTATGCTAACTGCTGGTCCCTTGTTTATTTTAATTTGGCCAGAGAGGGACAAAGTGAGAGTGAGAGTGAGAGAGAGAAAGGAAAAGTGAGAAAGTAAGCCACCAGGTCTGGGACTCGAACTGCAGTTGGTCATGTGGGAGTCCAGAGCCCCCAACCACCACTCCACCTGGCGACCCCATCTGCTAAACTAACATTTTAAAGGGTAATTAGAAAGACGAAAGGATAAGTAGAATCTTTAAGTTTTCTTAATAGTTTCCCATACAGGAAACTAAATATCAAGGAAAAAAATGACAAACTGTAAAAATGTGAAAATAAAAATCAGCCACAAATAACCACTAACACCACTCTGGTATTCGTCCTCCGCGTCCATTTTCTCTGTGAATACACCTCAAAGCCATATAAAACACCACTTAAAATTTGCTATGATTGGGACAAGCAGATGATGCAGCAGTTATGTTGCAGGACTCCCACGCAGCCAACTATGATTCCAGTGCTGGAACCAGTGGCTTAAAACTCACACCGGGCACGTGTGCATGCTCCAAATCCTGAGAACGGAGGAAAAGGCATTGCGGTGTGGCCATCCCCCCTATGGGGTGATTTCTCATTTTCTGTCTCTCTGGTGAGTGTACATAGCCTATAGCAAAAAAACAAAACAAAAAAAAACAAAAAAAAAAACCCACTATGATCAATGAATGAAGCCCAAGTATTTACTTATGTCATTTAATAGTTTTCATTTAGCAATGGGTTTCAAACATTTTAACCATGGAAACTATCAAATAAATGGCAAACTCTAAGGCCTTCACAGGTGTTCCATAAAGTAATTAACTCACAGGAGATGAAGGATACTTTAGAGGTATCCAATTTTTCAAAATAACTAACAGTGTAACAGACAACTTTATATAGATGTAACATCTCTGATTATTTCCTTAGAATAAATTCCCTCCAGGTGTTCACCGTGTCAGAAAATACAACCATTTTTAAGGCTTCTGGTACATTACTGCCAAATCACCTTCTAAAAAAAAGTGAGTGTCCATCTTCTTGAATCTTTACCATTTAGTATTACCACCTAACAAAAAAAGGAAACAATTTGCGCCTTTCATTTTAAAGCTTTTTTAAAACAGAAAGAAAGAATTCTAATAATGCAAAAAAGCAACAATTCCACTTAAGCATGCAGTCACATTCCTCTGAAGTCAGCTCTACGAGGCTAGAGATTATCCACGAGAAAAATAACTAAATATAGGCACGGCTGTGTAAGTACAATGACTGCTCTCCAGAAATGCCATTTCAAATTAATTCATCTGTACAGCAGTTTAGCAAGCCAGAGCCACCGATGCCGCAAGTGTATGGCACGCAGAGAAGACTGCAGTCGGCCAGGCATCTCAACGCAACTTTCTAGCATGGAAAAAAAAAAAAGCCTTTAGTAGGAGAAAACAGACTGTTACTTAGTTGTGAAGTGCCCCTTACTTCCTTATTTATAGAACAGAAAGCAGCGCTCTGGCACTCACTCAGCTCGCGCCTTCTACCCCGCCTTCTACCCCGTATGAGCTTGTTCTGCGCCTGTAGCCACGTGACCCGGCACCACCGGCTCAGAACTCCAGGTGGCGCTCATCCACCCATTCTACTTACGGACAGGATCATGCGGTACTTGAAGTTGGGAAACTCGCTGTCGCACTTCTCACAGCGGTACAATCCGTTCTGTTGGTCGATCACTTTCTTATTGCAATCCTGATTCGGGCAGGCCTGGTACATGCAATTCTCTTTGCGGAGATAGACCACTGTAGCCACAGAGCTGAAATAATCTGCCTTCAGGAGAAAAGAGAGAGCACTAAGCCTGCTACCTCCAGGCCTGCACTTAGAGGCAGCCTAAAGCTTGCCCTCACAGGCCCAGCCGAGAAGACAGACTGCTGCTCAGTGGTGAAGCAGACTGTTGTTTAGCGGCACGTGCTGGTGGGATGCTGTGCTTCACAGGCTGGGACCGCGTGGGAGGCCCAGGTTCAATTTCTGGTCCAACCTAAAGACTGGGCACAGAGGGTGTATGCCTGTAATCCCAGTGACTTGGGAGCCCCCATGTGGGAGGATCACGGGCTCCAGGCTGACCTGGGCAACACAGGGAGACCCTGACCGAAAGATCTAGGTGTAGTGATGTGTGCCTGCAGTCCCAGCTATCGGGAGGCTGAGGAGAGAGGGTCATGACAGAATGAGACCATCTCAAAAAATCTCACTCTTATGTACACACACACACACACATATATATTTTTGTTATAGGGTGCATGCGCTCACCAGACAGAGAGACAGAGAGACAGAAAGTGAGAAATCACCCCCCCACCCCCAGAGGGGATGGCCACGCCGCAATCCCTTCTCCTCCGTTCTCCTCTTGGGATCTTGGGCACACATGCACATGCGCCCAGCGTGAGCTTTAAGCCACTGGGTCCGGGACGCGAACCGCGGTCGACTACGTGGGAGTCCAGTGACATAGCCATTACGCTAACTGCTGGTCCCACACTTACATATTTTTTAAGTTTGCTGTAGGATACATGTGCTTGTGTGGGCAGACAGAGAAGAAAAAGAGGGAAAGTGAGAAGTCACCCACTAGGGGGTGGTCATGCCACAATCCTTTTTCCTTTCAGGATTTTGGTCACACACACTGATGCACCCAGCGTGTTTTTCAAGCTGGGTCTGGGACTTGAACCATACGGTTGGCCATGTGCAATACAACAGACGTAACCTCCACATCACCTGCTGGCCCCAGCGTTTATATAGCCTAATTCTCAAGATTGCAAAGTAGATCACAGGGAACAATTCCTTCCATAGTTTAAAAAAAATCACATATGTGGGACCGGCAGATGATGTAATGTTAGGTCACTGGACTCCCAGAGTCAACGGCGGTTCAAGTCTTGGACTTGGTGGCTTAAACTCACGCTGAACATGTGTGCATGCCCAAGATCCCAAGAGGAGAATGGAAGAGAAGGGATTGCAGCATAGCCATCCCCTCTGGGGAGTGATTTCTCGCTTTCTGTCTTTCTGGTGAGTGCCTGCGCCCTATAGCAAAAATCTCTTAAAAAAAAAAAAAAATCACACCTGCTGGCCCAGCCCCATAATGCAGTGATTAAGTGCCATTCATTGGGAACTGGATCCCACAACCCACATTGCCAACTGCAATTTACAATCTTGGCCCCAGAGGCTTGAAAACCACACCAGATGCATTTGTATGAATGTTCTAAATCCTGATAGGATGAAAAAAATGGAGGAAAAAGTATTGCAGTGTGACCATATCCCATTGGGGGTACTTTCGCCCTCTTTCTGGTAAGCACATGTACCTTCTGGCAATTAAAGAAAAAAAAGGGGGGCGGGCAGCAGATTGGCGCAATTCACACCAGGCACGTGTGTGTGCATGCCCCAAATCCCGAGAGAAGAATTGAGGAGAAGGAATTATGGCATGGGTTATTATCCTCTGGGTTAGGGAGAGGTGATTTCTTGCTTTCTGTCTCTGTCTCTCTCAATCTGTCCAGCAAGCACATACATCCTATAGCAAAAAATCACTCCTTAAAAAAAACAAACAAAAAAACCCCCCTAACTAATAAATAATCACGTATACGGAGTGCAAAACCCAGGAAAACAATAAACCGAGTTCTAAAGCTTATAAATCTTTAATGACAAGAGTTCATTCTAGGGGCCAGCAGGTAGTGCAGTGCTTAAGGTGCTGGACTTTCACATGGCTGACCACAGTTCAAGTCCTAGGCCTGGCAGCTGGCTTTCTCACTTTCCATTTCTCTCTTTCTGTTTTTCTTTGGTCAGCACATGTGCCCTATAGCAAATTAAAAAATAATAAGTAAAAATATTAAGTAAATACTTCTTTTTAAAAAAGAGTTCATTCTAAATTAGAATGAATTAAAACTTAAAGTTTTCTATTTTGCTTCAAGTCTGTACGAGAGACAAAGACTTGGTTCTCTGACCCTCCAAAGGTGACAAAGCTAGGAAATATAGAGTAATGCCAACCACAGAAATCTAATATAACTAGGATCAACTTTCCTCCCACATCTGAAACAATGATAGTGATTTCTTTATTATTTCTTTCTTTATTTTTTGGCCATAGGGCATATGCACTGGCCAGAGTGAGAGGGAAAGTGAGAAATCACCCCCCAGAGGGGATGGCCACACCACAATCCCTTCTTCATTCTCCTCCTGGCATCTTGGGCACATATGCACATGCACCCAGTGTCTGGTTTAAGCCACTGGGTCTGGGACTTGAGCTGTGTGGTCAGCCATGTGATGGTAAACCATTAATGCTATCTGCTGACCCTGACTGATTTCTGATTTCTACGGCCCAGATTTGCCTTCTCTTTGTGTAGGTCAGAGATCAGTGAGTCCTCTGTAAAAAGTCAGACAGTAGATGCTTCAGGCTGAACAAGTCATTGGTCACGGAGTACCTGCTGCAGCTACGTAACTGTGGGGTAAGAGCATCCAGAGGCAGTGTAAGTAATGGAAGCTGTGGCTGGTTAAATAAAACTTTATTTAAAGAACAGGCAGCAGGCTGGATCTAAGTTGTCAAATCCAGTAGAATGCACTTATAAAGAAGATCTGTGCCTCCGAAGTGGAGAAACTGCTAAAAAATAAAGCTGTGAGTCATGTGTTTGGCTGTTTGCTTTGCTTTTTAATCCCCACAGAGAGGATTCCAGACGGATAATTTGGAAGGAGGGGTTGTTTGGGACTGTCAGGTAGCAGTTCCTTCTGGGTATAACCTGAATTCGGAGTAGTTCCATCACTTTTGGGGCTTCCTGATATCTCTGACCAAAAGGGGCAAAACAACATGGATATTTAAAGAGCTTAGGCTGGCCCCCAATTTAGAAAGTTCTAGAAAAACAAGTCTCCTAAGAGAATACCTGAAGAGTTTTTCTGTGTTTCCAGGTTAGGACCAGATTCAACCCATGACTGGGAAGTCTGGGGGCAGATGCGGCCTCTCTGCCTGATTTCTTACTGCATATGCAGACACCGGGTGACAAGAACCAGAAGGACGGCTGTTCCCACAAAGGACCACAGCGACCTGCCCAGCGTCTGATTCTCTAGGTGTTACGTAGCTGCTGACAACAATGATGGACAGGGCGCACGGTGAAATGAGACGGTAAGGAATAAAACTACATTCTATACTAGGAAAATGAAAGAGCAAAATTGCTATTTTGGGGCACATAAAGGAAAAATAAATGACTTAAATATTAAACTGCTGACAGAATGTAGGTTTAGATCCAGAGAGGAGGATCAGTAAATATAAACACTGACTGGGAAGCTGCAAGTAAAGTCAAATACCAGAGCGGATCCTGGCAGAGAACGCTGGCAACTCTCAGCCTGAGTGGCTAATATTCTCCAGCCAGTGAAAGTACCTGTGAACGCCTCCCATCCGACACTGGA